TAGGAGATCTCACACCAGTCACAAGTCCTGATGTGTCTAGGTCCTGAGGGAAAGGGGAACAACCTAGACATAGGGGTCTTGCCACACATGGCATTTTTGGAGAAGGTGGTACAGAATGGGAGGGAGCCAACTATTCAAAAGGGAACAGGGACTGGGGGATGAGCCCAGAACTAATCCTCTGGGTATCATGAATAGATGACACTCACCTGCCCCCAGAGCCCACCTTCCACAGCTAGACAACTTGCAAGGGGCCAGAAGCCATTGCCAAAACCAAGACCAAAGAGGGGACATTCTGGCCCACAACTCCAATGGGCTTACTTCGTGACCTGCCTTATGTCCAAACCGCAAGTCCTTTGGCAGTCTCACCAGCTCACATTTACTGAGCACTCAAGTCACTGTACACAAACATTCTATCCTCTCAGAGACCCCATGAAATAAGGGCTCCTGGTAGTAGTTACCTCGCACACTTTTTTTTTTTTTTTTTTTTTGGCAGTGCTAAAGATTGCACTCAGGGCCTTGCGCATGCTAGGCGAGCATTATACCACTGAGCCACATCCCCAGCCCTGGCCTGGTAGCCCCATTTTAGAGAAGAGGAGACTAAGCCCCACACACACTGTGCTAGTTTGCTCCTTTTCCCCAAACACACCCATTTACCAGCATCTTCTGGGTCCCAACATGGCTAGCCTAGGTCCCTCCACTCACTCCCACCCCAATGGCAAGCTCTCAGGGCCTGAGACAGACTCAAGTGGGGGAGTTACTGTTCTCTTGGTCCTACTAAGAATTCCTCAAGAGACTGAAAACAGCAGCCAGACAGGAAGGTACATGCCTGTACTCTCATCAACTCAGGAGGCTGAGGCAGGAGGATCCAAGTGCAAGACCAGCCTCAGCAACTTAGTGAGACCCTTAGCAATTTAGTGAGAGCCTGTGTCAAAACTGGGAATGYATGGGGCCAAGGTTTTGGCTCAGTGGTAGAGAGCTTGCCTACCATGCATGAGGCACTGGGTTCAATCGTGGCACCACATAAAAATAAAAACAAATAATATAAAGGTACTGTCTCCATCTGCAACTAAAAAAACGTTTAAAAAAAAAAAAAAGACTGGGGATGTACCTCAGTGGTAAAGCACTGCAGGATTCAATCCCCAATACCACAAAAAAAGAGAGACCAACACACATGCAGGGGAACAACTACCCCAGGCCCCTCCCTGCCTTGGGCTATGGGTAGAGATCTGCCCGATTCACCACATGCCACATCTGCCCACCCTGCTGCCCAACTCACAAAGCCGTTGCCCATGATGCGGCAAAGCCCCTTGAGGGAGTCGCAGTCTCTGTTGGTGAAGTGGAACTGTGCCAGCTGGGAGTTGCGAAACAGGGGGCCCAATGTAGTCTGGAGGCAACGAGGGTACAACTGGGTCACCACAAGGATATGGAGTATGGCGGGGGGTAGATTGGGTGGGCTGGGGGGAGTCTCACCAGCAGCTGCTGCGGGATCAGCTGCATGATCAACTTCTGTGGCCACTGGTCAGTCTCCCTGCAGGAAGGAGCAGGTCAGGGAGCGCCTTCTGGCCATGAGCCCACCCMGTCCCCTGTCCAGGCACTCACAGGTTCTCGCCCTGGTTCACGTAGGCCTGGCAGGGCAGGGCCCGTTTCAACTTTGCGGTAGAGTCAGAGTAGGGTCTGCGTTTCTGTGGGAGCAAGGAGAATGGGGGTCATAGGACACAGCCTAGAAGCCCAGGCTAGCCCCCACCCATGGGGASTGGTGGAAGCCTAGGCCAGTCCACAAAAACTCCAGTGAACCTGACAAAGACTTGCTCACCTCCTGCCATTCCAGGACGCCGCTCCAGGCCAGCAGCTTATTGCTGAGACGGTGTTCACTTACAGCCAGACCCCCAAGGGAGAGGCCAGGTGAGGAAGGCCCGATGGGACCCAGAGCCCCGAAGACCCGAGCACCTTCCTGTGGCAGAGGGGGGGTGAAGAAACTCAGACCAGGAGACCTTTAAGGACAGGCTRTGTACACACACTCCAGAAAAGACATCCCAATGTTCAAATTCCATGCTAGACACTCCCAGGGCCCCATCCAAGCCCCTTGCCCTAGTAGTCAACACCCCTCAAGGTTGACCCCATGTCCTCCCCCACCCACAGCCCACTGGTCACATGACACTGGTCTGAATAGGTCTTGTTCCCCCTTCAGTCTCTGCTCCAGCTGTGTTCTCAGTCTGGAATGTCATCCAGTCCCTTTAGGGGATATGCCACCACTCATCCTCTGCAGCCTGAACAATTTGTCAGACCTAACTCAAAAGCCAGCTGTCTGGAGGATTCCTATACCCAGCAGGGCCTGCTGCCCCACATATATAACCAGCCCTGTCCTGTACAGTGGCTGGTCTTGTCCCTCCAATACTCAGAATACTTCTTGGACTACCCATCATCCTAAAGAGAAAGTCCAAACTCCCTTGCCAGCTTGTGCCAACCTTTCCAGGCACAGGGTGGCCTTTCTTGCTGACCCCAGGGAGGCAGTACCAAGAAATAAACGGAGGAACAGGCTATTCAGGAAAAAGGGGAAGGCATTCGGAAGAGGGTATGACAAATCCTGGAGGAGTCACACCAGAATGCTTGCAAAACACCAGAAAGCACCATACTACCAAACCAAAGCACAAGTTCTTCTGACAGGGCCCTCTCTAAACTGTCTTTTTAAAATCAAACACATCAAAGCAAACAAGAGAAAGCTTTAGAAAGAGGTTGGAAGCAGGAAATTTGTGAAAATCTCAGTAGTAGGTACAAGCAAAATTATAAGAGTTGTTACCTTTCTTCTTACCTAGTCACTAATGGATATTTTCCACATTCCTTATAAARCATATAGAGATCTTTTTATCCCAGAATAATGACAAGCAGGAAAATACTTATTTTATACAGGTCTTAAGCTGAATAAAAACATGAGCAAGCATACAGTYTACCTGGACAGGTGAGTCGGGGATTTGAGCAAACATACAAGATCAAGAAGAAAACCAGAGAGGGCCAGGGATATACATTGTTGTTGGGGGGGGAGAAAACTAGATAGAGAACGTTCCAGTGTAAGAAAGCATTGATGTGTTCAAGGCCGGAGTGTGTCCGGGACAGAGAAAAGGTGATGAAAGCCCATGTTTGCAGGTACCCACCTGGGAGGCTCAACACCTGAGCAAAGGTAGGAAAAACACAGTTGCAGGAGTCCTGGGAGATGAGGGTGTACTTATGATACATAAGACCCAGGAATTATGGAGTACTTACCTGAGCTACCTGAACTATAAACATGTTCTGTTAAGAGCCCAATGTATGATCCAAACRCAGTTAAGGTCTGCTTGTCTAGAAGAGTAGACTGAGCACTTAGAATCTGATATGTTTGGATCTGGAGTCACACACAGTGGGTAAACACCAGGATGTTTGCCTAAACCGTACCTACACCTGCAACTTCAGGATGAGCATAYGGAAGCAGAAGGACACAGTTAGGGTCTAGACTGAAAGCAACCCCAAAGGAAATCTCATATCYAGGCAAGTGTGTGTAAAATTGTGCTGATTTGCTGTTTACTGCACAGGGTAGCTCTGTGGGGATTTGGAGGGAAGTTTAAAGTCTTCCAATGCATGTTTGAGGATTTAGGAAGCATATTTGAACAACTAGATGGGAATGCTTCAGGCAGCAGGAAAGCAGTGGAGTATGTTTCAGACCCGCAGGAGAGTGTTTGAGGCTTGAGTAAAGCTGCTTCAGCTCTGGGCAACCTCTGGGCAGAGTGTTTCTAAGTGAGCCTGAGTACAAGTGTAGAAGTCTCACATCTGGGCAAGTGTGTGCATGGTTTGCGTGTGAAACGCCGTGATGTGCACTTTTACGGCCCCTAAGCAAACATTTTTACGGTTTTTAAAAAGTCTGTGCATGTTTGGGGTCTGATGAAGCATGTGCACCCTAACATACCTCCAAAGTTGAATGTTTACCTTTAAGGCCTGAATTCATTGCAATCCATAAAGGCATCCCATATCTGGGCGTGGGTGTAGATTCTAGGTGCGCATGCCACAGGCATCATTCGGGCACAGGGGAGAACGCCCCCGACTGCAACAACTGGGTGCGCGTGTGCAAAACGCTACCCCCACCCCTACTGACCGCCGTCGCCCAGCCCCCTCACGCATTTTCAGATTTCCTGCCCGAAGAGGGACCAACTTTCCAATAGGAAAAACAACCGCGGGCGGCATCCGCCCGCCCCCCACCCCGCGTTTAAATTGGGCCGCGGAGTCAGCAGTAATTTGAGCCCGCCCCGCCCCCGTACCCCACCCCCACCGCAGCAGAAACGCGTAACAAAGGAGAGAGCCCGGCGTGTACCACAGGGGGGTCCACGGGGGCCACTGCCCCAGGCGGGACCAGCCTTCGGGCCACAGGGGAGAGCCCAAAGAGGAGGAAACCTCGGACAAAGGCGTGATCTCGGGGGAGGGGCCGGCGGGGGCGGGGTCGTGGAAGGCTCTGGAAAAAGGGCGGGGGGCTCACCATGGGAGGGGCCGAGCGGGCCCTGATCCTCGGTGGCTGCGGGCCTCGAGGGCTGGCTGGCCAGGAGCGCGAGCGGACCGCACGCACCACGAGAGGCCGCGGGGGGCGACCGCGACCCCCGAGGGGGCCCCCAACGCCAGAGCGATGCGGGGCGCGGCGCGGACGGACCATGGCGAACGAGGGCCGAGCGGGCTGACGGCTGCCACGGGCCACACGGGGGGCTGCGGGATCCACCGACTGAGGGGCGCGGGCGCGCGGCTTCAGGGGAGACGGGCTGAGCCGTACCAAGCGCGGGGGACGCGCTACCAGAGGGGTCGCCGCGGCCAAACCACTGCGGCAAGCGGGGGAGCTCGGCGCGTACCAACGGCGTCCGCGAGGGGGCGTGGTCGGGCCGTACCAAGAAGGGCTGGGGGAACCTTGGGAAGAGAAGGTGTGTGAGAAGAATGGCAATGGGAAGATACTTTGGGCCGCTCCAGCACGGGGGAGGAGCTCCGAGGTACGAGAAACGACTGGGGGCGCGTGGCGGAGCCAAAGACCGTACCAAAGTGGGAGGGGGGCTGAATGACACTAGGTGATACCAAGTCGGCTCCCTAATGGGAGTCGGGGAACCTCACCTACAGCCCCGGGGCCGCTACCAAGAAGCCCGAGGGCGAGGGTAGCACCACGCGTGAAGGGAGGACTTAAAGCTTGGAGGGGTGACGTGGCTAGGGGACCACAACTCCCAGCGAGCCCCATGGGGACTTGGGCGGGGCCATCGGCCCCTGGAAACCCCTCCAGTCACAGCTACGCGCCCAGGCTCCACCCCCTGCATCGCCTTCAAGCTTCTGGCTCTCCGCTATTCGTTGATTCACTCAACTAAAATTAAGTGCGTAGTCACTAGTCATTGTGTACGATTTCTTCCTTGAGTCTTTTTTCGTCTAGTGTGATAATATTCCAACCTTAGAGTGGTTATGAGAAGTGAATTTAATRAAGTGTCAGGATCAGTGCTTGGCACAATAACTCTCGTTACCTTTTAAGAAGAAAAAAATCCTATTATTAATACCTTGGCTGGTTCTATGCTGGGCGGTGAGTATACTGCGATGATCAGATCACACCAGGTCCCTCAATGAGCCTGTGATCCATTGGGGAAAACAAATATTACAAGTTGCAATGCTTGTTGACTAGAGCAAATGCACAGCTCAATGGGCTGAGGACCAGGGGGACAATTTAACAAGGGAAGTTAGGGAATTGTAACCTGCAATTCCCGATAAAATGGAAGAGTGTGCTAAATGGGGGTTCAAAGACACAAGTCTTTAAAGTGGATGAAAAAGAAGGGAGACAGGTACAGCTAGAGCAGAGTGAGGGTAAAGGAGAACTGGTACTTTTTTTATAAACAAATCATTCGTAAAATGCACATAATCACACTATAAGACTACAGAAGCTGGGTGCAGTGGCATGCACCTTTAATCTCAGCAGATTGGGAGGCTGAGTTAGGAATATCACAAGATCAAAGCCAGCTTCAGCAACAACTTAAGGCTTTAAGTAATTCAGGGAGACCCTGACTCTAAATAAAATATAAAAAAAGAGCTGGGGATGTGACTCAGTGGTTAAGCAACCCCTGGGTTCAATTCTGGATGCAAAAAAAAAAAAAGACTACAGAAACAGCATGGTTCCACAGTTAGCTCTAAAGAGAGAAGACAGATGGTAGGGGAAATAAAGTGGCCTACACCGGTGAAATGCAGATTCTGTTTATTCTTCTCTTAGCAAATGTTATCTACTGAAGAATTACTTTTGGAAGGTTTAACTTTTAATATTTTTTTAAAGGATCCCTCTGGCTGTTGTTTTGAAAATAACAGTGAAAACAGAAGAACTGAGAGGCTGTAGCAATAATCTGGGCAAGAGGCATGGACAGGATGCATCAAGGGCAAGATGGCTGCAGTGGGGGTGGTCAGTTTCACAATTGATTTTCAAGCTGGAGCCCAAAGGATTTGTGCATTGAGAGAAGGTTGAGAACAAGGTTTTGGGTTGCACAGGAGTGCCACTAATTGAAGTGAAGAAGAGAATTAGTGCCACTAATTGAAGCTGAGGAGGGAAATATCACTTTTGTTTGAGATGTTGACTAAACAGTGTAGACAGGAAGGGTCTGGCTAGGGAAACCAATAGTCCTCAGTGTTTGAATGGATGAGGAACAAGTGTGTTATATATGGATTGAGACTGGTCACTCCAACCCTGGAGCCTTGGAGCAAATAACAAAGGAGATAGGAGTGGCTGGTGAATGGGGAGAACCCCTAGGCCAGGTCAGTTCTCTGCCCCACTAAGTGTCCTGCCTAAGAGCTTCACAGGAATGGCTTGAATCCAGAATATGAACTGGATTGTGGCAAAAGGTGAGTCAGTGCTCCTTGACAGCAAGTTAGATGTGAACAGATAACTCCATAGCAAGGAGGAGAGAAAATAGACAAGAACTTCTAAATCTTCTCTTCTCCCCATTCTCATCGGTCCAACTTTTGTCACTTTAACACTCACACCTCTCACCAAAACCTTCAGGGGCTTCCCAGTGTCTTTAGAATTAACTAACCCAAACTCCTGGCCATGTCCCCTGCTGCCCTCTAGATCATCTCTTGATCTCTTCTTCATCCTTCCTGTTCTCTAATTAACACTTCCTTTTCCTTCAGACCTCATCAGGACACATGTGGGGATGAATGCCCAGGACTATACACACATGGAGAGAGCTATACCAGGATATACTCCAGGGTGACCAAACTGGAAACTCATGTCAAAAGGTGAAATGAAAATGTAGGCTGAATTCTATTAGTAATACTGCAGTAAAGCTCTGTGAAATCATGTCACCTACCCAGTCCACCGATCTGAAATAAACTCTCGATTTCACCTGTAAAACCTGGGCACAGACTGTTGGGCCACTACTGTGACTGAACAGTTCTGCTTTCATCTGCTGGATTACCTACTTCCTGTGAGGTAGTTGTTCCCAAACCTGTTTATGCCAATTGTTCTTAAGTTAATAATTTAATCCACTATCAAATATTAATATGGGGCTGGAGTTGTGGCTCAATGGTAGAGTGCTTGCCTAGCATGTGTGAGGCACTGGGTTCAATTATCAGCACCACATATAAAATAACAGTCCATCAATGTTTAAAAATTTTTTTAAAAAATCAATGTAAGAGTTATCTGTATGCAAACGAGGTTACATTGGAAAGAATGAAGATGAGTTGCTAGAAAGAAAGAATGAAGATGAGTTGCTAGAAAGAAAAAATGCTGCCAAATTAAGTGCAAGCAAACCAACTGTAAGTGATTTAATAGATAAGCTCATAAAAACCTAGCAAGAATCCGCTTTCAGTTTGCTTTTTTTTTTTTTTTTTTAAAGAGAGAGTGAGAGAGAGAGAGAGAATTTTTAATATTTATTTTTTAGTTCTCGGCGGACACAACATCTTTGTTGGTATGTGGTGCTGAGGATCGAACCCGGGCCGCACGCATGCCAGGCGAGCGCGCTACCGCTGAGCCACATCTCCAGCCCTTCAGTTTGCTTCATAAGTGTGTTCAGGCTCTCAAGTCACTTAAAGACTTGATTAAAAGTGAGATCACTCATTGTGGTTTGTAAGCATAGTAAAATACAAATGCTGTATGCTAACTGGGAGACCAATACTGAAAGAAAAGGTCTTTGTTCTAAATGGAGCTGAATGTCTGTTCAAATGTCTTGATTAAAATAAAACATGTAAAGTGTTAAGATGGTAATTAGTGCTACTTGCCATGTATTTCTAGCTCTCTACTTGCCCAGAAATTGAACCACCATGGTTGAGCAGGACAATATATGAGCAGAAATGACATATGTACACCTGTAATCTGGGCTACCTGAGAGGCAGGAAGGTAGCAAATTCAAGGTCAGCCTGGGAAATTTATCGAGACCCTGTCTCAAAAGAAAAAAATTTTAGAAAGGGCTGAAGATGCAGCTCAGCAGTAGAGCACTTGCCTAGCCTGCATGAGGCCCTAGGTTCCATCCCCAGCTCAGTAAACAAACATCAAAACAAAAACAACCAAAAATCCCATCTTGATTCACGTGAACTCAGCCTGGCACCAAGCTGACACTTAGCGAAGCGTGAGAGAAAATCTACTCTTGCCATTTCCAGCCACTGCAGCTAGAAGGCGTTACTGCACAACACCAGGCCTGACCCGACATAGGCACGTCTTTACAAATGGTCCTCTTTTACCCAGCATCTGTTTAAAGTCAGCTGCCCGTCTGAGTTTCCTAAAAGGATGAACTGGGAGTACATAGAGGAAGAATGTTAATTATGACAGACAAAAGACATGAAGACACACGGACAAATAATACATTTTTATACTGAGAAATGGCAGTTGGAGGATCTCTGTCTTGGGTTACTTTTTCATTTGCAGTTACAAATGACGTATGATTAAAAAAAAAAAAGTCTGGCTGATATATGCTCCACAAGCTCTGTATATTCTACCTTTAATGTTCTCCTCAGAATTTGTAATTAGATGGGGAACAAGCAGTAACTGAAAAACTACCTGCTGGGTGGATGGTGACATAGCCCCCAGTCACAGAGCGCCCAAGGAAATCGCTGTGACCTCTAGGCCTCCCTAAATATATACCAGACTTAGAACACCTCCTCCACAGGGCTGGGCTGGTAGCTCGGTGGTCAGGTGCTTTGCCTACCTTRTGGAGGCCAAGTTCAACCTCCATGACCACCAAAACCAAAATAACACCCCCCAGCCAGTGTACCCTTTGCCACCCAGCTTCTCATCCTGGTCATAAGGAACCCACCTGCCCCAGCTCCCCTAGAGTTTATTCAGGAATGACCTGAACAGACCTCACAGTGGGAGCATGATGTCACTGGCATCATTTCGGGTCCCAAGCAGTTAAGGGCAGGGTGCACTCCCCAGGGTCTTGCTCTATTGCTCTTGTTCCCAGTGTCGCTTGGAGTAGAGGGATGACTGGTTACTGGGTGAAGGCCTGGAGGGAGGAGCCTGACCCAGCTCAGTCAGGGGCACGGGAGGGGGAGAACTCTAATGCCATCTCTACCCATCCGGTGCCCTGCCTCCAGGCCTTTGCCTATACAGTCCTCTCGCTCAGGCTGCCCTTCCCTCCAACTGAACCTCTCAAAGAATGACCCATAATGGTGGACAGTTACAGTAAGTAACCAGGAAACTGAGTTCTCATTCAGTTTTCAAAAGGGTCCCTCAAGTTCACCTCAACAGACACAGACAGATCTTCACCTTACAGTTCAGATGAATGAACTGCAAATCTGTGACCTCTCTCCCTTCTTTTTTTTTTCCCCCAATACAGTCTCACTAAGCTGCTAAGGCTGGCTTTGAACCTGCAATCCTCCTGCCTCAGCCTCCAGAGCCACTGGGATTACAGGTGTGAGCCACAGTGCCAGGTTTACCTGCTGTTCTCTAGATGCATTCAGCCCCTCTGCTGTGCAGCAGTAAATACGTGTTATGATGAAATAGTGCTCTGCCTGCAACACCTCATTTTTTAAAAAGATTCTTGGAAAATCAAGCAGTTAATGATTCGTTTTTCTTTTTCTTTTCTTTTTTGGTTTTGGTTTGGTTTTCAGTATGATGGATGGCACCCAGAGACTCGCACATGCCAGGCAAGCTGCAACCTCAGCTCAGAGCTACATCCACAGCCCTTTTTTATACTGAGACAGGGTCTCACTAAGTTGCCAAGGTTGGCCTTTTAATTTATACTCCTCCTGCCTCAGCCTCTGAATACCACCCTCATTTGAATGGGGAAACCAAAGCTCAGGAGGCAAAAGGCTAAGCTCACAGACTGAGATGGGTATGGAGGAAGCAGGGCCAGGTGTTACCTGAACATCAGCAGAAGCTGCTGGTATTCACTTGGTGGGAAAAATATGGGCCACGAGCAGTGAACACCCTCACCTTTCATTCTGACCCACCTATGACTGTCAACACAGGGCTGGGACATCCCCACTTCTCACTGCAGCCTTTCACAGCTGCTGCTCAGCCACCCCAGCACACACCACTCCAGATGCTCCCGGGCTATAAGACCCAAACCCAAGGCGCCCACTTCTCACATCAAGGGCAAGAAGCGCTGAACCTGCCATGCACTGCCCATCCCCGTGGCTGCCAGGGTGGTCCACACCAGGTAAAGTGGTAAGAAACAGATTGGTACAGCTGTTGATGGGCAGCATGGAAATGCCTTATGGAAGGGGTGAGGTGTCAGTTCTGTCTCAGTTTAAAATAGGTACTGAGGGGACTGGGGCTGTGGCTTAGCGGTARAGCGCTCGCCTAGCACATTCGAGGACATGGATTTGATCCTCAGCACCACATAAAAATAAAGAGAATAATGGTATTGTGTCCAACTGCAACTGAAAAATACATATTAAAATTAAAAAATAAAATACAATAGGTACTGAGGGCTGGGGATGTAGCTCAGTGGCAGAGTGCTTGCCTAGCAGGCGTGAGGCCTGAGTTCAATCCCCTGCACCACCAAAAGCAAAACAAAATAAGCACTCAAAGGGTGTGGTAGCAAATGCCTATAATCTCAGTGACTTGGGAGGCTGAGGCAGGAGGATTGCAAGTTCAAGGCCAGCCTCAGCAACTTGGCAAGGCCCTAAGCAACTTAGTAAGACCCTGTCTCAAAAAATAAAAAGGGCTGAGATGTGGCTCAGTGGTTAAGCACCCCTGGGTTCAATCCCTGTACTAAGAAAAAAGGGTTGTGGCTCAATGGTAGAGCACTCACCTAGCACACAGAGGCACTGGGTTCAAACCTCAGCATCACATAAAAATGAAATAAAACTTAGTGTCCCTATAACTTAAAAGTAAATATTTTTTTTTAAAAAGGCACCAAAAAAGATCAGAAATATCCTCAATGGACAGCAATAGGGGGCTGATTGAGCCCAGTTCAAGACCAGCCTGGGTAACACAGTGAGGACCCATCTCAGAGAATGAGAAAGGGAGCAAGGGTGAATGAAAAAAAAATATGGCACATACACAGGAGAGACCTCTCTGCAGCCCTGAAGATGGATGAGGGCTTCTGTTCGGGTACAGACTCTCAGATATGTTAGAATTAAAAACAAACAAAAAAAAAAAAAAAAAAAAAAACAGAAGCTGGAGAACAGAGTAGGCTGCCTCAGGGCAGGAACACCAAAAAAAAAAAAAAAAAAAAAAAAAACGCATCTGCTTCTCTATTTGCTTCCTCCAGTTGTGTATCTCTCTGAAAGGACACATAAGGAATTGCTAAGTGATTTCTAGAAGGAGCTGGGTTCCTTTCTGGAACCAAAGTATGAATCATTTTGAAAACTATGCAAAAATAAATTCAATATTTGAAGGCTTATAAATAAAAATAAAATTGGCACATTCGATTTGAAATATTACTGTGAGGAATGTATTCCATAGGAATGCCTGCTCAAGTGAGCAAACACACACACACATACACACACACACATCCCTGCTCACACCCACACTCCTCCTTTGGAGCATTCTGGAGAATATGAGGAATTGCACAGCCACCTGGCTGTCACAAATGATGTGGCAAGCAGTCTGAAGGATGGCTGCCTCTGGGACCAACCCCCACCAAGATAACTGTGCTTTTGTATCATCCTCTCCGCTCGAGTGGGCCACATCTAGTAATTTATAATGAACAGAATATGGCAGAGGCAATGGGCTAGATTAAGGTACAAAAAGACTGCAGCTTCCACCACAGGCACCCTCTCTTGTGTCTAGAGAAACTGGTCACCACATACTGAGCTGCCCTAGAAGAGGCTTAATAATGGTAAGAAACCAGAGATCCCAACCCTCAGCAAGCATGGGACTGGACTCCTGGCCCACAGCAAGTGTGGGACAAGGAATGCCTGTTCTCCACCAAGGGCTTGTGGTGGGGTTTGTCATAAATCAACAGATAACCTACAAAAGTAGGTTGGTTGTAGACTTGCAATTCAGCCATGTAATGGACTATTAATGGCAATCACTTGAAAACAGGACACAGAGCCACAGGTAATGATGTGGACAGGTGACCATTACTTAAGTGGGCCAGGTTGGGGGTGGGGAGCTGAAGAAGAGCATATAGACGACACCACCTATGTAAAAAGATTAAGAAACTATCACATGTGAAATGGTGATACGCCTGTAATCCCAGCAACTCAGGAGGCTGAGGGAGGAGGATCACATGTTTTAGGCCAGCCTCAGCAACTGTCTCAAACTTAAAAAAAAAAAAAAAAAAAATTAAAGAGGTTGGGGATGTAGCTTGGTGGTAGAGCACCCCTGGGTTCAATCTCCTGTGTCACACACATACACAAAATTATGATGAAAAACAAATTATGATGAATATTTCCATAATTGCATGCATGTAAATTCAATTTCATATTAGTATGTCTCCTCTGGGGAGGAAAAAAGAACCCCTCCCTATGATGCTGGGAGGGAACCCAAGGCCTCCAGTATGCTAAGCACAGCTCTACCAGAGCTA